AAAAATGAATAGAAAAAAAAATTTAAATTTAATAAAAATGTATTAGGACGTAAATTTAATTTTCTACTAAAAAATAATCTTGTAAATATTTCGAATATTGCATTATTTTCGAGTTATGAAGAACAAACAAAATAGCTCAAACACCAACGTCAATACTTTAGTTGCCCGAAGCACTTTTCGGTAACAAGGTTACCTTCTTCAGAGACTGAAGTGAAGTGTTCAGTGCTTCGTACAACGAAAGTGTCATGTTTTGGTGTTGGGGTTTGAGCTATTTTGTTTGTTTTACAACAACCGCTAAAGTTTTTCCAATCTTTATTTTTCGAGTTCTGTATTTAGAAAAACCAAAACGGAGGCAATTTTGCTCTGCTCTTAAAAATGCACTCCTCAGTTTAGTAGCAAAGGGATATAAAAATAACCACTCACTTATTAAAATGAAAGTAAATATGAATTATAAAGAACGGGTTATAAAGATGAGAAAACAGATTTAAAGAAGTGTTACGTGACCACAAAGTGATGTAGTTGATTGAAATTTCTAATGTCTAAGCAAACACTTAAAAGACTAATCGTAATATGTAATTTGATATACTGCAACTTCTATATTGAAGAGAAACTTACCACTACTGAATGAACTGCACCTATTCTTGTACAAGCTAAAAGGGTGATTACAGCTTCTAATATCATTGGCATATATACTGCTACTCGGTCTCCCTTTTTAATACCTTTGCTTTTCAATACATTCGAAAATTTGCATACCTCTTCCAGAAGTTTCCTATATGTTAAACGACTGTAATCATCAGGATGGTTTCCTTCCCTAAATTTCAATAGAGCAAATAGATAGTTTCAACACAACAATAATAAACCATAATTAGGTTTTATATTTTGTTTCTATAAACATTTTAGCTGTCTTATTAAAGTTAGATAGTAAATTAACATTGATTCATATACACTAGTTATACGAGGGATTTTCTCTATATAATTGGGTTTTTGTTTAAGGATGTTAATCGTTAGGAAAATAAGCCACCTTGGGGAAATTACACAAGAATAAGTGTATGTGAAATAATAATTTTGCTTCTTTGCCTACATGTATGGTTTAGTTAACGTTTTATTAAACAATTTGCGTTGGCAAGGTGAAAAATTTATGTAAACGTAAAATAAAACGGGTCTTGTCATATTTTAAAGGTTATCAGAAACGTTTGAAAGTCGCTTTACAGTGATTGTATTTAACTACGTTTCTATATCTTGGAGTTACACAATTCCAATGATAAAATATGTAGTTTGTACTACAGGCAAGTGAAATCTGAACTTTTAGGTTGTTACTCACAAAGTTACTAGGTAATTAAATTTAGGACTATTTGACTAAAATCTCGAAGAAGGCAAGAAATAGGAGATAGCCATCTTTTCATATAGCCTCTTACAACTTGGACAAAATTCTTCTTTCTTGTAGGTGAGGAAATGTTATGTTGGGAAGATTGAATTTTCAATCAAGAAAAACAATCCTTGGCGTAACAGGTTCACAGTATAAAAAAAATGTTTTACTTAGATATTGAATCAACATAAAAATTAACATACTATAAAAGATAGTAAAACCCTCTAAGAATTGTTTCGATATATTGATTTTCAGTGTCATTAAAATTTTTCAATATTTTAGAAAAGAATTATTAGAGGATAACGGAAAAAAAAGTGTAAAACCTTATACAAGTGTTACTTATTAATTTATGTACTGTTTATACATGCATATATTCATATTATACAAATATGTATTTTTTTCCTGAACATTATTTATTATCTTTTAGAATATAGGTATTTCTTTAGCATTCATACTATTTGATGATATATTAAGATATTTTCAATTAAAAGCAGTCAGAAAGAGGTGAAATGTTCGTTATTAATTATGTAATTGCATCGACGTTTCGCCTTCCGATCTAAATCTTTTTCAAGGTAAATTACTTAGTTAATAAATTACATTAGGAAACATTGGAATTTTCCTTTTTCTTGTATAAACCCAAGAAATTATTTGTTACGTTAGATTAAAAACTTATACACAAAATCACAGTCACAATTTAAAATTAAAAACATGAATTTAAAATAAAAAATTAATTGATAAAATAATAAATATTAAT